GCAACCTTAAGGTTACAAGGCTTTTCAGTTAGTCTTAACAGAATAGTCCCCAGATTCTTCCCCCTACGTGAAGAAAGGGAAAGTGGTTTTAGAGCACCAGTCAGGAAATCTTGAATATTTATCTCAGAACTGCTTGCCTCTCTACATGCTTTAGAATAGCATTTCCCCATGGAATATATTATACTTATGCAGAATGTCTTTCTAGAGAGGGCTGCACAAATGATTCAAGAAAACTGTATATTTTATTTCTCCTTTTGGAAATTTATAATGTACATTAACATATGAAAGACTCTAAGAAGAACTGCAGTCTACATAACTTGTTTCAAGCCAAATGCATTTGCTATTTCCCAGCCTATTTCAACATGGAATCTTCTGACATCAAAATCATCATCATCAGATGTAACATTTAAGATCTTAAAAGACATTTGGGAAACGTTCCCATGGATACAGCATACTGTTCACGTAGTGTTGTTTCTCTCCCTTAGGCTGGAACACTCTTTCTCCTCTTGTTTCTTTCCTTTCTTTCTCCTCTTCTCTCCAACCTCCCTAATCCAGGTTCTTTCTTTTTTATTATTATTATTCCTTTTAGGAGAAGGACTGGTGAAATCACTGTGGTATGCACTTATTATATTGTAATCTAGTATTCTTCCTCAGTTGAGGGACCTGGTTTCTTTCTCTGTTTTTAATTAGCATGCATCTTCCCTAGTCCCAATACTGTATGATTCAGCCTTGTTCATTCTCTTTCAATCCTATATAGTGTTTGGGTCACTGTTGAGAACCTCCTACGTATATCTGCAAAAATTATAATGAATAGATAAAATAATCCAGGATTCATATAGATATAGATGTATATACAGATATACACATGTATATATGCTGAATCAAAAAATATAGATACATTGCATTAAAAAAAACTTTCTACCCACTACTTCCTGCCTATGTGAACCACCAGTCTGTTTTCTGTATCATCTATGAGCTTGTTTTTTTTTTTTGTAGTTGTTAGGTTTTTTTTTTTTTTTATCATTCCACATGTAAGAGAGATCATACAGTATTTTTCTTCCTCTGACTTATTTCATTTAGCCTAATGCCCTCAGGGTCCATCCATGTTATCCCACATGGCAAGATTTCATTCCTTATTTTCTGACTGAATAATAATAATGAGCATGTCTGCATGTGTGTGTGTGTGCACGTACCACAGTTTATCCATTCATCTGTCAATGGACACTTAAGTTGCTTGTGTGTCTTGGCTATTGTTAATGATGCTGCAGTGAGCATGGGGTATGTATATCTTTTGAGTTGGTGTTTTGTTTTTGGATGAATACCTAGAAGTGGATTTGCTTGGTCACATGATAGTTCTATTTTTAATTCTTTGAGGAACTTCCCTACTGTTTTCCATAGTGGATGCACAAATTTACATTCCCATCAGCATTCACAAAGGTTCCCTTTCCTTCATGTTCTTAATAGCATTTGTTTTGTTATCTTTTTGATAATAGCCTTTCCAATAGATGTGAGGTGTTACCTCACTGTGTTTGATTTGCCTTTTCTGATTAATGATACTGGGCATCCTATTGGCCATCAGTATTTCTGTTCTTATGCTTTGCCCATTTTTCAATTGGATTGCTTCTTTTTTTCTATTGAGTTGTATGAGTTCTTTAAATATTTTGGATATTAACCCCTTATCAGATATATGATTTGCAAACATTTTCTCTCAGTCATTTGGTTACCTTTTCATTTTGTTGATGATTTATTTCCTTTGCTGTACAGATGCTTTTTAGTATGATGTAGCCCCACTTATTTATTTTTGCCTTTGTTGCTTTTGCTTTTGGTGTCAGATTCAGAAATCATTGCCAAGACTTACGTCAAGAAGCTTACCCTCTACATTTTCTTATAGGAATTTATTGTTTCAGGTCTTCTATTTCAGGTCCTAATCCATTTTGGGTTAACCTTTGTATATGGTATAAGCCAATAGCCCAGTTTCATTCTTTTGCATATGACTGCCAATTTCCCTAGCGTCATTTACTGAAGACATTGTCCTTTCCTCATTTTATATTCTTGGCTCCTTTGTCACAGGTTAATTGACTATATATGTGTGGGTTTATTTCTGGGCTCTCTGTTCTACTGATTTTTGTGTCTGGTTTTATGCAAATGCCATGCAGTTTTAATCATTACAGTTTTGTAATATAGCTTGAAACCAGAAATTGTAATGGCTCCAGCTTTGTTCTTCTTTCTCAGGATTGCTTTAGCTTTGTGTGTGTGTGTGTGTGTGTGTGTGTGTGTGTGGTTTCGTGAAAATTTTAGGATTATTCTGTTTCTTTGAAAATGTCATTGGAATTTTGGTAGGGATTACATTGATTCTGTAGATTGCTTTGGGTAGTATGGACATTTGAACATCAATAATTTTTTCAATCCAGGATCACAGAGTATCTTCTCATTTGTTTGTGTCACTTTCAGTTTCTTTCATTAGTGCCACGTAGTTTTCAAATTTCACCTCCTTGGTTAAATTTATTCCTGGATACTTTATTCTTTTTCATGCAGTTGTAAATAGGATTGTTTTCTTTATTTCTCTTTCTGATGTTTTGTTATTAGTGCATAGAAATGTTACAAGTTTTTGTGTATTGATTTTGTATCCTACAACTTTACTGAATTTGTTTCTTACTTCTCTCATGTCACATACAAATAGTGACAGTTTTTCTTCTTCTTTTCCAATTTGGATGTCTTTATTTCTTGTTCTTGCCTAATTGCTCTGGCTAAGACTTCCAATACTATGTTGAATAAAAGTGGTGAGGGTAGACATCCTTGTCTTTCCTGTTCAAGATCTTAGACAAAAGGGTTTCAGCTGTTTACTGTTGAATAGGATGTTAACTGTGGTCCTGTCATATATGGCCTCTATTATGTTGAAGTGTGTTCCCTTTATACCCACTTTAATGAGTTTTTTTTATCATAAATCATTGTTGAATTTTATCCCATACTTAAGTGTGTTCCCCTTATAGCCACTTTATTGAGAGGTTTGTTTTCTTTTTATCATTAATTATTAATGTTGAATTTTATCACATACTTTTTCTACATCTAGTGAGGTGAACATATGATTTTCACCCTTCTTTGTGTCAATGTGTCAGATCACATCGACTGATTTTAAGATGTTGAACCATCCTTGTGCCCATGGGATAAATCTTACTTCATTATGGTGTCTGATCCCTTTAATGTATGGTTGAATTTGGTTCGCTAATATTTTGTTTTGGGTTTTTGTATCTATATTTGTCAGGAATATTGGCTTTTAATTTTCTTGTGTTGTCCTTGTCTGATGTTGGTATCAGGGTAATGCTGGCCTCATAAGGTCGGTTTGGAAGAAATCCTCCTGTTTTTTGGGAGCGTAGGAGAAGGATTCATGTTAATTCTCCTTTGAGTATTTGATGAAATTTACCAGTGAAACTGTCTGGTCCTGGATTTTTGTTTGGTGAGAGGTTTCTACTGATTCAGCCTTCTAACTAGTCATCAGGCTGTTCAGATTTTACCTTATTCTTTAAAATACATGGTTTGTCTTAGGTCTTATGTTTTCCCTGACCATCTGTCTCCTCTGTTCCCTCACTCATCATACAGTTGCACCTACCCTGTACTTTCAAAATACTTGGGACACATCTCTATTCTTTGGACCTACTGCATGTTCGTATTGCCTGTCTCTCTATCCCCTCATTATACCTTGAGCTTTTTGAGGACAGATATTTTTTATTGCTAGTTCCTACTGTATACTATAAATATCCTTAATGATTCATGGAAAAAATGATTAAATGAATGATTAATAGAGTGAGAAAGACTCAGGCCCTGCTATCTTCCACAGCATGCACTTGGCATTCAGGAGACTAATACATCCTTGCCTTGCCCATCATGACTTAATCTTACCATCACCTCTTTGCTCTACTATTTCTCTCTTCGCTCTGCTGTTTCTTCTCTTGCTTAACCAGGTACAGAGAGCAGAAAAGCAAGTCTGCTTCAATGGATAGACAAGCAAGGAGTGAGAGGCCAGTGTCTTTTCCTTGTAGGCTGGTCCTATTTGTGTATAGTTCTCCTAGAAGACCCTCGCTTGTTTCAGCATAGTGGGAACAGGAGTGAAAATGGGACAGACGTCCTCTCCTAAGAAGACTTAGACACTTTCTCTCGGCTAGCAACTTAGAGTGCCAAGAGTCTCCTCTAGTTCCTAATCTTCTGCTTACACTGGTTCTAATGATGGCACGCTGGAAACTGACCTGATTCTGTGCACGGTTAGCAAATTCTGTGGAGCTGTGTCTAGCAGTTGGCAGCTCTCCTTAGAATGTGGGGTACCTTTGGGCTTTTGCTGCAATTCTGAGCTGAAAGGGAATGTCCCTTTCAGAATTCAGGTGTGTATATTTTCACCTAGAAAAAAGCCCAGCATGGAGTATAAACTCTTAGAGGCAGTGGCATTGTTAATGTTTATTTTCTATAATAGCTATTGCTAAACTCACTGATTTATTAGAATTCGGTGATTATAATATGCAGTATTTGGCCATAAAGCACTGAATTAAACCCGAATCACTTTGCATCCTGGTTTGTTAGGACAAATACCTGGCTGTATCTTCAGAGACTCGGGTGAAACATTCTGGAGTACATACCAGAACTCTGATGATCTTGTTTGACAACTCTTGGCCCTCCATGGAGAACACAGGTTTAAGTTACCTTGAACAAGTGAGAGAAGTTCTGGCTGACCTGACTAATTTAGGTCCAAGAATCAGCATAGTGATTACAGTCTGAAGTATGATACTATGTTTTCTTGCCAGCAGATTCATGAGGCCTAATACATGAACGTTAGTTTCATTTTATTTCATACTTTTACTGAGCACTCAAAAGAGTTCATTTCTTAAATTTGGAACATCCCTTTTGGAATTTTGTTTTGATGAAACATAGGCCGTGAACATTTGCTGGCTACTTACCTGTAGAGGATTCCAGGTTATTGTCATAAATTTAAGTGACATGTATTTAACTTCCAGGGTGAAAAGGAACAGCCTGTGTTTGCACTCACTGGCCTTCGATGGGGATCCTTCCGAGATGCCGGCGTCTCAGTTAGCAGGTAGAAGGGCGCTGGGTTAACCAGTGGTGGTTTTTAAACACCTTCTTACTCTGTCCCTGTCTTTGAGGTTTCAGTATACAGTGATCTCGGAATACATGCAGTGGGCCCGGTGGTTGAATTATGTATGAATAGCAGAAGTGAAGTTTACATTCTGTGTGCAGAGAGGCTGGGGGAAGTCCCAGCTTCCTCCACGCTGGCTGAGTGGTAGCTCAGGATGAGCAGTGTCCACCTCTCTTTCTAGACATCGTATTTGATCAGGGGTTGGGGGGGCGGCTCAGCTAGACCAGAGGGGCACTGGTGTCGTCTCCTCCTACTGCCTGCTTAGCTGGGTACCAAGTCCAGGTACCTGGAGCTCTGACGACCCTTGTCGGAAGGCCCCCTTTCCCCCAAGAGGTGTTCTTTCTGAAGGCCGAGCGGATTCACCGACCCCAGGCCACCTCCTTCAGAGGAGGGAGGAGGGCAGAGACCTGGGAATGCTGGAAGGTGGAAGAAACAGGCCTGCGGAGGAGGCGATGAGAGGGCTGCTGGTGGCTTTTCATGGCAACCTGCTTATTTTTGGAGGATTCATTGTGGAGCATAAAACTGCCGGCTCGCAAAGAGGGCTCGAGAGGCCGCGTGGGCAAGGCTTCCTGAGGTGGGGCTGGAGGAGACAGGGCGTGAGGTTCGCTCCTGGCTGGTGGGTGTTATTTTCTTTCTTTACCTCTTCTTGACAACACATTTACAGTGTAAATGAGTGATGATTGATCTCGCACACAGCTTTTATCAAGAAAGCTCGCTTTCACTTTGTAGGCATTCTCGGCACATTTTCTTTACAGAAATTCCTCTCATTTGTCCCACATGGTTATTCCTGCTAATGACGTTCCTGACAGCGGACTGTCAAAGGAGAGAGACCACTGAGTTACATCACACACTGCGTTCTTTTGTTTGCTAATGTGCATGGTTATCTTCATTCCGCAAGTCATCTTGTATCTTATCTGTAATCTCACATGCCAGCAGTTTACTAACAGGAATTCCTTAGTTTCCCCTGAGAAAGTCTAATAAGAGCGAATTGCTCTTTCTTTTTTTGTGGCCACACAATGTGCTATGTGGGATCTTCCCTGACCATGTGGGGCTCCCTGACCAGGGATGGAGCCCATGCCCCCCTGCAGGAGAAGTGCAGAGTCCTAACCACTGGACCCCTGGGGAAGTCCTACATTGCTTTCCAAGTGTATTGAGCACAAGCATAGGTCAGCCCTTGAGGAATAGCACACACAGGCCCATATTCTGTTTGATTTCTGAGCATGGAATTTTTAAATGCTGGCTGTTGTTGTACCTGGACTAGAACCATCCACTGAGTCACCATGTGTGTTACGGGAGAAACTGGGGGGGTGCAAGAAGCCATTTCCTAGCTGGCCTTGCACAGTATCAGTTCAGAATAAAGTTATTTATTTATTTCTAAATCAGTTTGGAAATAAACTGCCTTGGTTGGGATGTGTTTCTGTCTGGCTACCCTGGAAAAGAGGCAAAGCATCAAGTAAGCTTTCAAACAAAGTAAGAGAAACAGAAACATGAGATGATCAAAGCCGTCATTAATAGCCTTGTGGTGCTTACTGGGATAATAGTTAGAATCGTTCTGCTCTGCTCATTGGATGGCTAACCTCCATATTCTGGTGTTCAAGACCAACTTAATCCATCATCACTCCTAATTACCGAGTTCTGTGTCTTTGCTTTGAAATGGCAACCCACTCCACTGTTCTTGCCTGGAGAATCCCAGGGACAGGGGAGCCTGGTGGGCTGCCGTCTTTGGGGTTGCACAGTCGGACACGACAGAAGCGACTTAGCAGCAGCATGCCTTTGTTTAAAGCTTTTGCTCTGGCAATCACTCTAAGCGTTTCCCGTACTGTTACTCCTTGTCCTGCCTAGAATGACGTTCTTGCCTCTCTTGTGTCTGCATCCAGCCCAGGTTTCTAGGTCTCACGCCCTCACTTTATTCTTGTCATTTGTTGTGCAGGTGTGGCTGCTCCCATGATTTAAGGCCCGTAATGATTTCTTCCACCTTCTTGACTCTCCTTACCAGTAAATAGTGATCAGTTTATACCATGTCATAGAAATATGGTTATTTGTCGTTATCTATTATATTTGGGGGCCTTATCTTCTCAGAAGCCCTCAAAGGCAAGAATTTTGTACTGATTATATTGCTTCTGTTTCCTCCATATACATAGTAAGTGCTAAATGAATGCATATTGATTCGGATTGAATAGGGAGCGGTTAAGATGGGCTGGGAAGTGAAAGACATTTTAAGAGAGAAGTCTACTTTATGCCACTTTTCTAAATCCAACCAGGCATCTTTTTCTCTTCAGTAGCTTTTAGGAATTTAGCAATATGAAGTAGACCCTCTTTACTCCCAGATTTCACATTTGCCATGTTGAAGCTGCATAACATGAGTAATGTGAAATTACGCTGATTTACAGATTTTAATTGTATGTTTGTGTATTGAGAGAGAACGCGGTGTACAGCATGCAGCCATTTAGCTCACGAGTAATATATCAGCACCCGCATCTACATCTCATCGTGGCTTTATCACTCTCCACTCATTTGGAATGTGAACTCAACTGTGTTCCATGGTGGAAAGTACATATTACAGTGATACCTGTGAATTTAGAGATTCAAGGAGACTCTGATTATATATCTCATAAATTGCAAGGATTTAGCTGCTGTATAACTAATTACGTTGTTTGAGGTGGTATTCAAATGCAGATTAAAAACTTAACTGGAATACTTTTTTATGCTAAACCACAATCTCCAAATCTCCAGAGCAGACACTCCTGGTAGAGGTGTAATTCTAATGTATTATCTGTCCTGAATGGTATCTAGCACATTGATAGCTTTTTTTTAATATTCTAATCAGATTTTTATCTTGCTCTTTCTCAGGTACTGGTATCTTGGGCCTCTAAAAACCAAAGCAGCCCACTTTTTCAGCACTCTTAAGGTAAATGCAGGCTCCAGTATTGAAATTTGACCTCTGGTATTTTGTTATTCCTTTGTGATGTGTGTATTTGGAATTTTTAAAACTTTCTTGCTATAGATGTATATGGCATGCTCCTAAAATGGGGCCTATTTACTTACACACAAATGCAGATGGCATTGTTGTTTTGATACTTCTCATCTGCCAACTTATTCTCTATTACCAAGCCCATATTTAATTTCATTTTAGTATTTCACTTCCCTTTGTTCACTCACTCTTACCAAACAAACCTTGAACACAGTGACCTGTATCTCATTACTTACTTGCAAGTGTGTCTGTATTAGTATCTAGAAATGAACTGAAGATTTGTATATGAATACACCTAATCATATAGGTTTGTGTATAATATAGTAGGCTTCAAACAATGCTTTGTGCTTCAAACCGTGCTTAACTAGCCAAATATGTGTAGTGGTTGCTGCATGGGACAATACAAGTGTGAGACCATTGCCATCATAAGAGAAAGTTCTATCAGGCTATGCTGTTGTAGGTTATATGATGAAAAATATTGGTATAGAGAAAAACTCAACAATGTATGTTAAAGAAAACGCTAATAGAAAAGTCATAGTTATCTTGTACTACATACCATGTTGCGCTTTTATGCACATGAAGGTAGTATATTTACAGTTTGAATCTGAAAATTGGCAGATGAAGTTTCAATGTAGTAAGGAGTTTGGTTCTATCTAATGTTAACATTCAGAGTATCGAATGGGTTTGGAATTAAAGAAGTAATATATGTCCATTGGAAAACATAGCTCCCTTTACCCAGAGCTATCCAGTTATTCATTAACAGAGCCATTAAAGTACTAGGGGTAGCCAATCTATGTGGTTACTAAGATGAACTTGGGAGGGTGGGGAGCAAGGACTTTCTGTGCTTAAGGCAAACTGTGTGAGTAAAATGCATGACTGCTGTTGCTTGGAGGAGTAATTTCATTGATGGAGTATTCAGGTAGAAATAGAGGAGCTCCGTATTTAAGCTGTAGAATCTGGGACCATATAAACTGTTTCTATCATTTCTACAGCAAACAGTGATTGCATACCTATTGGGTGGCAAGCCCTGCTGTATATTTGGAATACTGAGTCAAATAAGACAGGTATCATGCCCTCAAGAAGTGTTCAGATGCCAGGAGTGAGGGCCTGGTAAATCAGCAGTTTGGCAAATGCTAGGAGAGAAATAGGAAAGAATAAGATGGAAGCAGAGAGGAGGAGCATTTACCTCTGACTGAAGGTCAGTAGAGTCAGCCCAGAGAAGGTTACAGTACTTCAGCCAAATTTTGAAAAATAAACAGGACTAGATAAAGGGCATTCCAAGTGCAGGGGTCAGGGTGTGCGGAGTCACAGGGGTGTGACATGGTCTTTAATTATGGCCAGCCCAGTGGAATGGCTTGTGGGCTTACGGCAGGTTTTGACGTGGGATCTGACCTTTATCTTTAAAGCACTAGAGGGTCATTGGATCTTAAGCAGGGGAATGATAGGAGCAGGCTTTCACTTTGGCAAGAAATTGTCTGGCAGCAGAATGGACAAGAGACTGGACATTGGTAGTTACAGGCAAAGGTATCAGATAGAAGATTGTTAACACGATCCAGGTGAGGAGAGATGAGGTCTCGACAAGGTGGTAATAGTGAACATTGACCCCAGAGCATTGACTAAAGAGGTACAATCCTCTTTAGTCAGAAGGAGCATGGAGTATTCCCAGATTTCTGGTTTGAGGGGCTAGAGTTTGGTAACTAGAGTTTTCCATGAATGCTGATAATATTAGAGTTGGATCACGTTCGTGAAGAAAGGTGAAATTCTCAGTTTGGCGCATAGCGAGTTTAACATTACCAGTGGTACAGACCAGTGAAGTCATACAATTATGACTTAGATCTGGAATTCAGAGACATCTGGGCTGAAGAAATAGCTTTAAAGGTCGTAAGTGTATGAGTGGCATTGAGCTATGGGTTTGTTAAAGTTACTGTTGAGAACAGGTGGGCACAAATAACCATCATTTTAAAGAGCCAGAAATGATGCCCAGAAAGTCCAGAGAGAGTCTGGGAGGAAGTACTGACATAGAAGCCAATGAAAAAGAGAACTTCCGGAAGACAGCGAGATTTTAAGCAGCAGCAGCAAAGAGCAAAAATAAAGAGAGGAAAGTAAGGACCCATTGAATCTGGCAACCCCTGCAGGTTTGGTAACGTCTTAGGTGGAGGGGCCGAAGCCAAATTGAAGACAGTTCAGGAACAAAGCGGAGGCAGCAGAGCCAGTCCTTTAAGAAACTCTACTTTGAAGGAGAGGAGATTAAAAACAGCAGAAGGTACTGAGAAATACGGGTCAGTGGAGCATTCTGGTGTTTTGGTTTTTTTAAATTAGAGAGCTGTTCATGTGTTTACTCCCTGAAGCAAAAGTAAAAGCGAATGGGAGGAGAAGAGAGAAAGGGCACAAAAAACATGACTGACTCGGCCAAGTCCGTGAGCAAGAGGAAGGGAGTGGATCAAAGCCCTGGACTAGCCTTGGACAGGGGGAGGGACACCTTTTCCCTTGAGACAGGAGAGCAATAAAACAGAGGTCCGGATGGAGACACATTTATAAAGAGGTGAGGCAGTTCTCCCTGATGTCCTTGTATTCTCTCTGAATGGTAGGAAGCAAGGTGATCTTTTGAAAGCGAGGTGGGTGGGGAATTTGGAAGAAGGATGAAAATAGGAAGGTTTAGAAAGATTATCAAGTGACATAAAAGACCTTAGACCAAGAACTTGTTGTGATGTGGGTATCGTCACTTGGGTGGTTGTTTTCCCTGTGTCAGTACTCAGCAGGAGTGCCTTATCTCCCCCTCTGATAATATTGAGCCACGATGTAGAAGTACAGACACTTAGTGACAGATTGATCCAGAACTGAGGCTTTTCAGCGTACCTGTTAGAGAAGGAAGACAATGAGGGCCAAAAGTGATAGAAGGATGATGTAAAATCCCCTGTTCACCTGGTTGGTGCTGAGGACAAATGGAGTGGCCCCGAGCTGGGATTCTCCGAGAACCAGGTGTGGTTAGGGTCTTCAGGGGCCCCCCGTTCATAGCCCTCTCTTCCTCCTCTGACTTTGAACCAAGTTATGAAAGCAAAATGCAGAAACAAAGCAGATGAAAATTGATATACCGGCTTTATCAATGTCAGCAGGAGTGAAGGACACAGCGTGGATACATGGTCACAATCTGATTTCCTCACAGTCCAAATTGGATTTCTCCACTTAAAAGACCTCCATCAGGACAGAGACTGCTAAGTAAGCCCAGTGCATGAGGAATCAATGGATGTGTGACTCTGCAGGACTCTGATCACTTCCAGAGAAAGAAGAGAAGAGGTTGGGTCTTTCTGGACCTGGGAGGAGTAAGAGATGGAGTGAGAGATGTCAGAATTAATTGTTACTCTTTTGTAATTCACCACTTGGAAACTTGAGAACAAGGGAGTAGTTCACCCTGAGGGCCACTGGGCACAAAAATATCAACTGGAAGAATGAGGGAAGTGATTAGCGAGTGGGATACCAGGGCCTTAGACTTCTAAGATGGAGTAGTTCTGGGTACCGATAAGGACTAGGATGTGGAAATGGGTTGCTGTGGTAGGTTGGAGGCAATGTCAGGGGTTGAGAGGCAAGGGTATTATTTTAATAATCCTTGAGGACACTGATGAGACCCAGGATGGTACTGGACTCGGGATGCCAGGAAGAAGACAGATCTGGGGTGTGAGAATGATGGCCTTTGAGAGCAGAAACGAGAAGCCCTGGGCTGGATTTCGAGGCCAAAGCAGTGTGGCCTCCGAGTGGAACATGCGTCTCAAAGTGAAGGAAGTCTGTGATGCAACTAGATTTCATCAGTCTCATGTTTATGTCACCATCTCTAAATGAATGATAAATTTATTATGGTGTGATTCTATGCTCGCTCATATTGAGAAACCCCAAGAGTTTGTAATTGTGTTGCATGATTTTTTTCCCTTCATTGAAAGGAGTGGCCTCAGACTCATCAAGCCTCAATCTCCTACACGGGACCTACAGAGAAACCTCCCAGTGGAGCGGAAGAGACCCCTCCCCGGCCCTCTTTGTACAGGAGGATATTACGGAGGCTCGCGTCCTACTGGGCACAACCGCAGGGCGGTGAGCAGCCTGGGGTCTGGAGGCTGGAAAGCCCTGGGTAGCTCAGGACTGCCTGAGGCAGACCCCACACGAGTGTTCGACCCTCCCGGAGTGGGGGAGGCCTAGGCTCAGACCAGCAGAGGCAGCGTCCCGTGAACGGGGACAGCCCGTGTCATTCCTGACTCCCAGCAACTCCCTCTTTCTCTCGCCAGCCTTTGTGTTACTGTAGCTGCTTTTGTTGGGATGTCTCAGGCCTAGAGATTCCATTTTGAACCTGGCTCTTTATCCCGTGTATCAAAAGTATGAGATAAAGAAAATTAAGCCTGGAAGTCCACAGACTGGCTTGGGAGGCCATCTGAGCCGCTGGCAGCTGGCCGTGGGTGGCAGTGCTGAAATGTTGGTGGGAGATAGCTGACCTGTGTCGGATGCATTCACACAGCCCCGCAAGAGGTGAACCCAGAGGTCTGGAAGGAAGTGCAGCTGTCCACCCTTGAACTGTCCATCACAACCCGGAACAGTCAGCTTGACCTGGCAGTAAGTGTGCTTTTTTTTTTAATTAGAAAAGCATTTCGGAAAAGTGACAAAGGCTACAAAGGCGGCACACTCTTCTAGTAACTTGGTGTTTTTATTTTTACCCTGTTGGGGGAGAGAGGGGTCAGAAACAAGAGGATGTGGGGTGCCTTTGAGGAATAATAGCATGAGAAGAAACAGCTGAGTGAAGTGCCTAAAAGCTTATGGGGCTCTGGTCAATATCTGTCACCAAGCTTTCTGCCTTGAGAGAACTAAGGGCAAAGGGCCTTTAGGAGTGGAGTTAGTCTACTCCTGTTTGTCATAGGAATCAAAAGTTGCAGAACTTTTGCTTGAGTAAACATCTATTATTTTTGTGACTGTATTAAATATATAGATTTAGATCTCCAGGGAAGAAAAATATATATATATATACACACACACACACACAAATATCTATTTGCATATTTTGAGTCCAGTCTGTTGACATGGACTGTCCAATATAGTAGCCACTAGTCACAGGTAGCTGTTTAAATTAATTACAAAGTAAAATTTAAAACTCATTTCTCGTGCTACATGTCAACTGCCATATGTGGCTAGTAGCTACCATATTGGAAAGCACAAATATAAAATATTTCCACAGTGCAGAGAGTTCTCCTGGAGAGTGCTGATATAGACAATAACACTAAAAAATATTCTGAAATAAATCAGAGGTTAGCAAACTGGTCTGCTACCTGTTTTACTACAGCCTGCAAGCCAGGAATTGATTTTAAGTTTTTAAATGGTTAGAATAAAGTCAAAAAAGGAATGATATTTTGTGATAGGTGAAAAGTATACAGAACTCAAGTTTCAACATCCATAAGTAAAGTTTCACTGGAACAGAGCTGTGTTCATCCGTGTCCGTGTTGTCTGTGGCCACGCTTGGGCGGCAGTGGCAGAACTGAGTCACTGTGACAGAGACTGAATGGCCCCCAAAGCCTAAAACATTTACTCTCTGCCCATCCACAGTAAAGGTTTACTGACCCCTGGTCTAGAGGAAACCTCAGTAGTTTATGTTAATGAAGATGCCATCAGGAAAGTTATTCTTAACCATGGACCAATACTATGTTTAGCTTTTAAGTAAATCATAGTAGTATGTTCACAATTGACCTGGTCAGTCTGAAAATTGGCACATGGAATTGAACGTATGAATGTAGTATGGTGAGTAAGGGAGAGAAGTGCAATGGGAAGTTTGATTCCAGTATTAATATGCAGAGTGTTGGGTGACTTTCTAAATGTAAAACTAATGCATGTCTTTGTACAACATTTGGATCACATAGCTCTTTTCACCTTCTAAATTGATTCCAGTTGGATTAAAAGGTTAAATGTAAAAAAAAAAAAAAAACTATGAAAGTACTGGAGTGAAATCTTAAGTGATTATCAACATAAACTTGGGAGGACAAGACTAAACCTGGCACCTGAGGCAAAAATCACATTGATGCATTTGCATACTTCTAATACAAAAGAAATAAAAATTTTAATGAAAATTGGGGAAAATATTAGGATGTGATAGATGCAGAGTTAATAGCTTTCCTTTATAGTAAAACTGTTAGGATAGTCAATAAGAGATGGGCAAAGGATTCATATAAACAACAGGCAGAAGACAAAAACAGAAATTCACAAAGGAAGTAAACATGAAAAAAAAAAATCACTGGTATTTACTACATGGTATTTACTACATGATAAGCACTGTCCTAAGAATTTTACATAGTGTCATCACATGTAATCCTCATAACTATACTATCAGGTGGGTATAATGTCTGTCTTAATTTCATAGGTAAAGAAAAAAATACTTAATATCGAAGAAATACAAATTAAAATCATAAATGTTGAATGGCTGTAAATTAAAAAGCATGCTGGTGTTCAGTGTGGGTGGGGAAATGGGCTGTCAGGTATTACTGGAGGGAAGAGAGCTTGGAACACCCTTTCTCCATGGCATTGTGGCAGTATATATGAAGCATCTGAAATACAAGCATACCACTGGCCCTGTTAAGCATATTTCTAAAAATTTATCCATCAAAAATAATCAGATGATATATAAAGACAATCCCTTATTTCTTACATAATGGGATTCTGGAAATGTTGGTGAAAGTGAATGTATTAAGGTTAAAAAATACTCTGTTAAAAAGAAAGATAAGATTTCTAATTATGCATTTCCTTTATACCCAGTCTCTGATGATATGTATTTCCAGTGTTTTGTTCATGTTCTTTAACCTTGTTCTTTGCTCTGATGATTGAATACCAGTGAATGGATTGAGTTCAGCAAGTAGGTGATTGTGGCTCGAGATTAGCTGCATTCAGAATGCTGAAAGCTTTTTATCTTTGTGCCAATTACAAAAGTATATGATCCTGTGCTGCTTATCACTGGCAGCAGCGCATTCATTTTTTTATTCCAAAACCTCTTTGTAAAAATAAAAGCGAATGCAATAAAATATTCAAAGACAATGAAGCTGCCATGTAATAGCTCAAAATGTTCATTTATCATTTAAAAAAAAAAGTCCATTCAGAGTCTGAAAGAAGCTTTAGGGGTGTGGAATGTTTGAAAATTAGGATCTCTTGTAGAGCTATGTTCACTGTATTTATCATGGCAAAATACATGAAACAAACTAATCAGGCAACTGATTAAATAGATTTTGATGTGTTTAGTTGCTCAGTCATGTCCAACTCTGCGCAACCCCATGGATTGTACCTGCCAGGCTCCTCTGTCCATGGAGTTTGAATACTGGAGTGGGTTACTGCTTCCTACTCCAACAGATTTTGGTACATGATGTTCTCTACCGACATGGAAAGATGTTCGTTGTATATTTAAATGGAAAACCAGGTTAATATGATTTGCATCAAAAGATTTCATATATATGTTAAAAAGAAATACTCCCACCTCTAATTGAATTTTGTGAATGATAGAGAGTGAAGCTCTAATTTTATCTTTCTTCCATATAGAAAGCCAGTTGTCCAAGCATCATTTATTGAAATGTGCCCCATCCCTCCCCCGCTCTCACTGATCTGCAGTAAACCTGTCATACATCAAGAATTTGTATACATGGGGATGTTGCTAAGTCTACTCTGTTGCTTTATTTTTCTATATTTGTACTAGTATTATGCTTGTCTTAATTATTAGTTTTAGAGTAAGTCCCTCTTTTTCTTCTTAAAGGGTTTCTTGGCTATTCTTGGCTCTTTGACTTCAATAAATCTCTTGGAATGTTTAAGTTCTACATAAATATCTGTTATAAAATCGATCAGGATTCCATTGAACCTGTAGATCAATTTGAGGAGAAATGGCATTTTCTACAACACTGACTCTTCTGTCATGTAAACATGGCATATCTCTTCATTTATTTAGGCTTTTAATGTCTTTCAGTGACGTTTTATAGTTTTCTTTAACATTTTGTCTTGCTGAGTAGATTCCTGGTTATCTTAATTTTTGACGTTGTAAATAGTGTCTTTTAAAATGTCATTTTTTAACTGATTTAGTAGATGGTCATGTAATTGATTTTTTTATATTGATGCTGTACCAGCAACCTACAATTCTTATCATGTTTATGGATTCCTTTAGATTTTCAATAGATTCAGTCATACCAACTGCAAATGGTGCAGTTGATATGATTTTTTTCCTTTCAAATACTTACCCTTATAACCTTTTGCCTCATCACATTGGCTAGGACCTCAGTACTAGGTTGAACAGAAGAAGTATTGGCAGGAGTCCTTGTCTCATTCCTAATTTAGAGAAAAAGGCTTTACTGCTTCATTCTTGAATTTGATGTTTGTTTGTCTGTTTGTTTGTTTTAATAGATAGCCTTTATCAGATTAAGGAAGTTCCCTTCCATTCCTATCCTAGTTTGCCAAGAGTTCTTATCACGAGTGGTTATATAATTTTATCAAGTACCTTTTCAGCCACTACTGAGATAAGGCTTTCTCACTGAGTCTGTCGTATTACAATACATTGATTTCCACACTTGCACGCTTTACAAAAGTCAAATCCTAGACTCCTAGATATCCACTTTTGATGTCTAATATACATTTCAGTCTTGACATGTCCTGAGCTCCTGATCTTCCCTCCCACCCCTTGAAAACTGCCTTATTCTCACTCTTCCTCCAGCGCAGCTGATTATAATTCCATTCTTTTAGTTGTTCAGGCCAAACATCTTGGATACTCCGTGTCTACACCTGAAACCTCTGAGCAAATCCTAGTGGCTGCACCTTCTGTTCATGAGTATTGCCAGCACGTCACAGCCTCCACTGCCAGCTGTTCCAAGCCAGGGTCGTATTTTAGCCCAGTTATCATAATAGGTTCCTAAGTGGTCTCCCTGCACCTTTCCTGCTCCTCTAAACACAGTAGCCAGGAGAGCCTTTAAAAAAAAGCACATCATCTTTCTCTGCTTAAGACCTTCCGGTGGCTTTTTGCTTCGCCCAGTCTAACGGCCAGCTTCCCTGGAGGGCGGGCCAGTGTCCATGCTCTCTGGTTTCGCCTCCTCTTGTCTCCTTTTCCCACTCTGCTCCAGCCGTGCCGGCTCCATGTTGTCAGACCTGCTCCCACCGAAGGCCCCGGCCCTGCCACTGTCCTTTGTGTGGACTGCGCGTCCCTAGACCAGTGGTTCTCAAAGTGTGGGCCTTAGATCAGCAGCAGTGGCATCGCTTGGGACCTTTTCACAATGAAGATTCTTGAGGCCCACCCCAGATCTATTGAACTACAAGCTCTGAGAATGGGGCCGAGTCTGAACTTAACAGCCACCTTGGTGACAGTTCTTGAAGACTGCCCTGGGTTTCCACAGCTCCTGCACCTTCTTCAGGTATCTGCCTAGAGGTTACCTCGTCAATGAGGCATACCTGGGCTCCTCTTTAAAAATGCCACCAACACCACCTTTTATCTCTTTTATAACGTACTTATAATATTTCTGATATACTCTATACCATTTATGCTAATACACATACTCTCCAGCTTGCTATTTTTATACTGATATACTCTAGCATACTTCTAATATACGTGATCATTTATTACTTTATTATGGTTGTGTTTTGTTCATCCCTTTCGCTTTCTCTGGTAGAATGTAGGTTCTTTGTAGGCAGAAATATTCGTGTTTCTGGTTCATTGAGGGGACCTTAACACTTAACAAAAGTTCATGGTACAAAGATGACAATAAGTCGTTTAGTAAGAGGTGATCTTAGAGCAGAGTTATCCCTCTGTATTTTGTAATTCCTCGTTGAGATGTAAAGTTGTGCTTTGGTTGAGCCCTTTAATCTTGGGCAAAGGCTGACAGCTTGCAGAGGCCTGGGGATGACCCTGCGGCTATGAATTTTGAACCTTTCCAAAAAGAACAAAATTCTATTTGAAGCAGACCCAGAAGGATTGGGATTGATTTATAGAGGGCCAGATTGTATTGCTCGCTACCAACTGGTAGTAAATTTCAGTGGTGGCCAAAGAACCAAGTCTGTTTTTTTATGCCACTTCCTTGTAGCTTAGTTCTTCCAGAACATTCTGTGGTTGGGAATGCAGCATTTTAAAAACATTTGTTGTTGTTTAGTCACTGAGTCATGTCCCATTCTTTTTGTGATCCCTTGGACTGTAGCCCGCCAGGCTCCTCTGTCCATTGGATTTCCCAGGCAAGAATACTGGAGAGGGTTGCCATTTCCTCCTTCAAGGGATCTTCCCAACCCAGGGCTCGAACCCACAACTCTTGCATTAAAAACATTTCCATTCCATGGCATAAATGGATTGCTGCTCTTCAACTATGGTCACTCACTAAGTCTGTATACAGAGAGTTAAAAAAAAAAAAATCCAGATACTTCACACCAAGAAGCTGATCAAGCTGGTGTGGTGTGATGCTGACATACAGTGAAGATGGAGACTTGCTGGGAGAGAGGCTTACCAGGGAGAGGACCCTCGAGACTGTAACAGTTGTGATTATCAGCAAGTGACAGAACTTGACCAACCTCTAAACCTGAGTTTTTACCTAGTTTATGTATGTAGTAAAAAAAAAAAAAAGCAATGGAGATGAATTTTATGGTATATAAATTATGCTTCAGTAAAGGTCTTAATGTAAAAAGAAAGAAGAAGGACTGAAAATATACTCAGGATTAAGTCATTGAAAGTTAAGTCCCTTCTGTAATACACAGCTCCAACCATGACCCTCCAAGGCTAAGAGGGCAAGAGGGTCCATAGGCCAAAATTCAGAGCATTAATGTTAGTTTTCCTAACTTTTCAGAGCAAAGAGGACTTTATGAACATCTGCATGGAACCCAACACCGTCAGCAAAGGGGACTTCATCACTCTAGGGTAAGTGGACTGGGGTTTGTAGGCGTGAGGCTTTAAGTGGTTTGTATTCTCAGACTTTACCAATCCGAGCACCCACAAAGTCCAAAGCAGAGATCTCACTGAAGACTTGTGTGGTTTGGCAACTGTAGCACCCTTTTGTTTTTTGGGTTGGCGTGCGTAGTGCATGTCTCCTAGTTTGGCCTTCCGCTTGCATTTTGGGAAGATCGGAGTTTGGGAGCTGTCTTGGTCTTTTGACTGAAATGACAGGAGTCAGTGTAGCATGGTATCCTGCCCAGAATTTTGGCCTCAGGGTCGGAACTACTGGATACAAATCTTGACTTTGCCACTCACTGGCCTCATGATCCTTTACTTTCCCTGGATCCTGGAGTGGAATAACATAATTGCCTCTCTCTCTCAGGGTTATTTTTGAGTCTCATATGAGGGACTGTGTGGGCAAAGTCTTTATAAGCATGAAGTACTTCACAGCACTGGTTACCATTCGTCAGCTCACCTTGCCTTTTCCCAGGTCATTAATGAAAAGATATTGAGTACCTTGGACATCTTCCAGACTTTTTTCCCTTTTCCACTACAAAAGACCCTCCCAAGTCCTGTCTGATTTGTTAAGCCATACCTCTGCCAGAGTTTTATTGGTTAAGGATGAGAGCAACTGAGAAGGCTGTGTGTTACCATGCCAACTGGAATCTGCTCCATTTTTTCTGAACTCTGTCTCGGAGCTCCCTCTCGCGCCCACGTAAGGATTAGACATTGCTGCTGCAGCGGCCGGGTCTCCATGGCTACCTCATTCTCTGTGCCAGCACGGGCGCACAATGTCTTTGCTCAGTTTGTGTTCTCGCCTTGGGTACCAATTCTTCAGATGCGGAATAGCTGCTTCTGCAGCCTTTGATTCACTTGCTGTAACTATAGTAAAAGGGAGAAAGGGAAAAAGTCTTTCTTCTCCTAGGAAGGGTCCAGAAGCTACAGTGTCCCACAAGCCTGTGGGACCAGCTATATTCGAATCTCCTTTATAATGCTGACATCCAAAACCAGAAAGAAAAACTGATCATGTTGCTTAAATTAGACAAAGTCATTATGGTGCACATGGTTGCTGTCATCATCTGCAGCAGCAGCAATAACATGGTTTCCTTTTGGTCTCTACAGGAAGTGAAATCAAGCCGTGTCTGCTTCCTCTGAGTATCTGATTAGAACACTGAAAAGTTGCTTTAGAAAACCGATGATGTTTCATCAGAAGAATTACTATTGTTAATTAATGATAAGTGATGTGAAAGTCACTCAGTCGTGTCCGACTCTTTGCAACCCCTTGGACTATATAGTCCATGGAATTACTGTACAGTCCATGGAATTCTCCAGGCCAGATTACTGGAGTGGATAGCCTTTCCCTTCTCCAGGGGATCTTTCCAACCCAGGGTTTGAACCCAGATCTCCCGCATTGCAGGTGGATTCTTTATCAGCTGAGCCACCAGGAAAGCCCAAGAATACTGGAGTGGGTAACCTATCCCTTCTCCAGCAATTAGTGATGAAGATGGACTGATTTTTATAGATTAGCTTTTACCCATTTCCCAGTGACTCTGACTAGCTGCAGGGTGTATATACATGAGGGGGGGTGGGGGGGGTGGGTAGGGGTGTGTGTGTGTGTGTAGAGAGAGGCTAATAGTTTTATTCCAAAGCCATGTAGTCAGGTCAAGATGCAGTATTCTAAGTAGACTGTTTATATCAATACGGAGAATCATACAAAAGCTGCTAAGGTTGGTTGTTCATATAAATCCATCTAGTTTAAATCAGAATACAAAATTTTCTCTTTCAAGTAACAGACTCACAAGAAGTACCAAATATCAAAAGTTTAGTACTTTTTTCTAAAGTATTTCATTTCATCCCAATTTTTAAACTTGGGATTTTTAAATAGCCCAAGAATTAGGTATACACGGAACTACTTAAAGATCAGTTGAGAGAAAAATCAGTCTTCATGCACAGTTTTGTTTAGTAAATAAGCCTTCTCAATCTGGACTGTATCTCAACACTAAGCAAGAAGCACTGGGGGAAAAATTATTCACAGAATCCCCATGGTTCAAGAGACTGTGAGTCCATGTATTTGATTTTACCCAAAGACATGCAGAACTTGCTTTGTTCTGGCAGTTGAATGCAGTTGCCAGCACTGGTTTCCAAGGTTGCTTTTTCCTGTACCAACAGAAGTAAAAAGGTGAGAGATCCCGAGCTGCGTGTTGAGGGCACCGAGTGTCTCCAAGCCAGCCGCTGCACGTTGCTTCTTCCAGAGGTGAGCAGGGGTGAGCTGCCCCACAGCTGGGGGTCTTCTCCTCTGTGGTCTTCCTTTCTGCTCTTTTTCTCCCTCTTTCCTATTAACAGACCCTTCCTTAGGTACCTCACTCACACATGCTGAGTGCTGTGCCGGGCTCTGGGTTATATTAAGGGAGACCCGAAAAGATGGCAGAAAAGCCCCCTCTGAGTCACAGGTTTAGAGTTTGGCTCCTGAAGACTTCCAGTGTTGTCAGGCCAAGGTTCTGTAAAGTGATCCTTCAGTCTCCTGAACTTTTATTTTTCTGAATGTAAATTATGCGAATGGTTACTATAACAACCCACAGAATTCTCCAGTTTGCAAATATTCATAGTGAATTCTAGCTTCACGTTTTTTAAAAATGATCTTGAAGCGTTTTCAGGATGGCAGTAGATTTTTCTGTACTGGGAAATGCCAAGCTATGTGGAATAACCTATAAGTGGGGGGAAAAAGTTAACTACAGATGGCCTCTGAAGACTTGACTGTTAAACTAAGGTGGTCAAAAAGGACTGTAGGTAAAATAGGTGTCCCCACAGTGGCTGGTACCATAGTTTTAACACAGCAAATGTTGACTTAAATGCATGAGTTATGGAAGGGTTTTCTAGAATTTGTAATATTAATGGTGCTATACCTTAGGTATAAAGGTAAGCAAGTCCTAAAGAACAACCATGAAAATAATCGAGTGGCTGTAATGGCTTTCCTAAGAGAACTGGCTGTGTTGCTCACTTTTCATTTGGGCAAGATTAGGGCCGAGAAGGACATACACATCTTATGTGAATTCCTTAAAGATATGACAGGACCCTGTCTTTCAATAAGCATTTGAAAATGATAACCTTGTTTCACAAATCCCAAAATACTCTGGGAGGAGGCAGAGTCCACTTAAACCTTTTTCATGGTGGTGAAGTGGAAGTCGCTCAATCATGTCCAACTTTCTGCGACCCCATGGACTATTCAGCCCATGGAATTCTCCAGGCCAGAATACTGGAGTGGGAAGCCTTTCTGTTCTCCAGGGGATCTTCCCAACCCAGGGACTGAATCCAGGTCTCTTGCATTGCAGGCAGGTTCTTTACCAACCAAGCTATGAGGGAAGCCCCCCTATTTCCATAACCAGCCCTGTGTCCGACACAGGCACAGAAATCTCTTTTTAAAGAACATGAAGCTAAATCCTCAGAGAGGGTGCGGTTTTCCCTGACAACCTGCCCGGATGCTCAGAGTGTGACGAATCCCAGCCAGCTGTGGGCGCGAGCTGTTCTGAGTCTTCTCCCCCTGCAGGGCACCGGGGGCGCCTTCAGCATCGACAGTGAGGAGTATGAAGCGATGCCCGTGGAGGTGAAGCTGCTCCCCAGGAAACTGCAGTTCTTCTGTGACCCTCGCAGGAGGGGGCAGCTGCTGCAGCGCCCGGCCGAGTGAGCGGGCGGCAGGTGGGCGCCCGAGACTGCACTTCAGCCACCCCGGGACCAAAAGGGAACCGAGGCCTCCCCTGTCCCCCGCGGTGTCGTCAGAGGACCCCAAGGGCCGTTCACGGCAAGTAGCCCCCCCTCCTCCCCCCACCCCCGTCCCGCTCTGTGCTTCCCAGCTTTGCAGCCAGCTTCCCAGCAGCGCATGCTCGACTCCGCTGTGATGATGGCCCGGTCCCTCCTGAAGACCGCTTTTCCTAAGACTAGTTCCAGGAAATCCCCACCCGCAGTGGCCGGAGACGGGCTCGACCTCGACAGCGCCCCCTGGTGGGGAGCAGGATCCTCCTCTGCGCTGGGTCCCGCGGCCACCCTGGGTCTTCCTGGGAAGCAAGCCACCTGCTTTCCCGCCACTCCGCCCGCTCCCAGGCCCTTCCACGGGTGCTGCGACTTGGTGAGCTCCGACTCAGCCCAAGCAAAAAGCGTAGGGGGAGGTGTGTCCCTCTTCAGCCATGGCTGAAATACTGTCAAATACTCTTTCCCCACCCCTCCACCCTGCAGTCCTGCTTCTGAAATGTCAGTTTGCACGAGAACCACCTAGGGTGCATGTTGAAAATTGACTTAGTTGGGGCCCATCCCGAATCTAGTAACTCGGTCTGGAGGGCGGAGCCCAGGAATCTGCACGTTTTAAAAGGCGGCCACCTTCCCCAAGTGGTTCTACTAGGGGAGGTCCCCCGACCTGAATGGGACGGTCCTGTAAAGCAGTGGTCCACACACATAGTTATTCTGGTCATGTACGTCCTAAAAGTATTTTGAAAAATCATGTAACCCTTCGCAGTTTTAAGTTGACAGCCAAAATTTTTCATGGGAAGTTAGTTGCCAAAGTACATACTTTCTAGTGTCATGTAAATATTGATATTTTAAAATAAAACTGTTACATTACTCTTTTGAACATTGTCAGTGTAATTGAGATACATAGCAGTTTGACACTCATCATCCATTTACAAAAATAAACTAGTAAGTTGTTTAGTCATTGAAAAATGCCGATTTTTCTTAATGTGTATTTCCATACCCCTTTCTGCAAAGAACGCTATCATAATGTAATGTTTTTATGCTTGAAACTTTTTTTATTGGAACTATCGTCTTGCCAACAAAAAATATAAATGGAGATAACTTTTTTTAGTTCGTGTCAATTAACTCACAAGAGAATAAATGTTATAAATTATTGAAATGCAACTGATATTATAAATTTTTGAAAATTAAAAATTAACATTTTATTAGAATACTCTTTATCCTGAGTTGATTTATTGAAAAACACCTTTGTTTTGTCAGTTTAATTCAAGTTTTTGTTTTTGTATTTTTACTTTATATAGTAGTATTGTTGATTAGAGAGTTTTTTCAGGTGTATAGCAAAGTGATTCAGTTATGCATATGTTTTTTTTTTTCAGTTCTTTTTCCATTAGGTTATTACTGAGTGTTGAGCAGAGTTCCCAACCAACATTAGGTCCTTGTTGGTTATCTATTTTAAATAGAGCAGTGTGCAGATGTTAAGCCCAAACTCCTACTCTATCCTCCCCACCCACCTTGCTGGTAACAGTAAGTATGTTCTCTCAGTGTGTGGGTATGCGTTTTGTATATAAGTTCGTTTGTATTTTAAGTTATTTCATATGATCTTTGTCTGACTTACTTCACTTAGTATGATAATCTCCAGGTCCATCCATGTTGCTGCAAATGGTATTATTTCATTCTTTTCAACGGGTAATAATTCTACTGTATGTACCACATCTTTTACCTATTCATCTGTCCACAGACATTTAGGTTGCTTCCGTGTCTTGGCTATGGTAAACAGCACTGCAATGAACACTGGGCTGCATGTATCCTTTCCAACCACGTTTTTCTCCAGGTATACACCCAAGAATGGGATTGTAGGATCATGTGCTAACTCTGGTTTCTTAAGGAACCTCCCTCCATACTGTTCTCCACGGCGACTATACCAATTTCCATTCCCACCGACAGTGTAGGGGGGCTCCCTTTTCTCCACACCCTCTTCCGCATTTATTATTTGTAGACTTTTTGATAATGGCCATTATCACTGGTGTGAGGTGATGTCTCATTACAGTTTTGATTTGTGTTTCTCTATAATTATCTACGTTAAGCATCTTTTCAGGTGTTTCTTGGTCATCTGCATGTCATCTTTTAGGTCTTCTCCCCATTTTTTGAGTCACATGAGCTGTTTATAAATTTTGAAGCTTAATCTCTTGTTCACATCATCTGCAAGTATTTTCTTCCAGTTTATGGGTTATCCTTGCACTTTATGGTTGCCCTTTCTGTTCTGTTCTCTTGTGATTTGATGACTAACTTTAGTGTTGAGTTGGGTTTCCTTCTTCTTTTGTGTGTGGTATCTATTGTAGGTTTTCCTTTTGCCGTTCCCTTGAGGTTTTGATACAGCAGTCTGTATATAAATGATATATTTTAAGTTGGTAGTCTTTTAATTTCTAAAGCATTTCCAATATCCTGCATTTGTGCTCTCCTCACGATTTCTGGTTTTGATATATTTGAAATATTTGAATCATTTACAGATGATTTCCTACCTTTACTGTGTTTGCCTTTACTGATAATCTTTTCCATTTGTAATTTTCTTGTTTCTAGTTGTGGCCTTTTCTGCCTAGAGAAGTTCCTTTGGCATTTGTTGCAAAGCTGGTTTGGTGGTGCTGAATTCTCTTAGCTTTTGCTTGTCAGTAGGCAATTTCTCTGTCAAATCTGAATAAAGAGCCTTGCTGAGAAGAGTATTCCTGGTCGTAGGTTCCCTCTCATCACTTTAAATATGTTGTGTCATTCCCTTTGGCCTGAAGAGTTTCTGATGAGAAATCAGCTGCTAACCTTACAGGAATTCCCTTGTTGATTTTCATTTTTCTGTCTTTAATTTTTGTCAGTTTGATTACTATGTGTCTTGGCGTGTTCCTTCTTGGGTTTATCCTGCCTGGCACTCTGTGCTTCCTAGACATGAGTGACTGCTTCCTTTCCCATGTTAGGGAAATTTTCAGCTATTAATTTTAAATATTTTCTTGGGTCCTTTCTCTTCTCCTATGGAACCCCTACAATGTGAATGTTGTTGCATTTAACGTTCCAGAGATCTCTTAAATTGTCCTCACTTCTGCTTATTCTTGTCTTCATTATTCTGATCCATGGCAGTGATTTCCACCATTCCGTCTTCCAGCTCATTTATTCTGCCATTGATTCCTTCTAGTGTATTTTTCATTTCAGTTATTGTTCATCTTTGCTGTTTAAATCTTCTAAGGCTTTGTTAAATATTTCTTGTGTCTTCCTGATCTGTGCCTCCTTCCTCTTCTGAGATCCCGGCTCATCTTTACTATATCATTACTCTGAATTCTCTTTCAGGTAGACTGCCAGTCTCTACTTCACCTCGTTCTTCTGGGGTATCTCATTTTGTCTGACTTTCCGTGATTGTGGCTTCCATCCTGTAGGCTGTAGGGTTGTAGTTCTTGCTTCTGCTGTCTGCCCCTGCCAGGTACAGCTATCTAAGAGGCTCATGCAGGCTTCCTGGTGAGAGAAGCTGGTACTTGCCCACAGGTGGGTAGGGCTATGTCAGGGACTGTTTTTATTGGGCAGCTATTTTCTCAGGATTTTGAGCAGGCTGTCTGTTGCTGAGTGGAGCTGTGCTCCTGCCCTTTGGTTGGTTGGCTTGAGGTGTCCTAGCACTGGCTGTTGGGTGGGGCCAGGTCTTGTTGAGAAAATGGGGGCATCCAAGAGGGCTCACACCAATAAGTGTTCCCCTAGAATTATCACAACCAGTGTCCTTGTCCCTGCAGTGAGCCATAGCTGCCCCCTGCCTGAGACCCTCCAATCCTAGCAGGTTAAGTCTGGCCTAATCTCTGATGAGGTCACTGCTTTTTTCCCCTGAATCCTCATGTATGTGAGACTCTGTATCCTCCAAGAGTGGAATTCTTACAGTCAAACCCCACTGGCCTTCAAAGCTGGATTCTCTGGGGCCACCTCCTCCTGTTGCCAGACCTGCAGGCTGGAGAGCCCTTGTGGGGCTCAGAACATTCACTCTTGGGGGAAAACGTCTGCGGTATAATTATTTTCCAGTTTGTAGGTCTCCACCCGGTTCATGTGGGATTTGATTCTATCTTGATTGTGGCCTCTTTGGGTGTAGGACATCTTTTTTGTGGGTTCCAGCATGTGTTCTGTTGTTGATGGTTGTTCTGCAGTTAGTTGTGATTCGGTGTTTCCATAAGAGGTGACCTCACGCCCTTCTACACTGCCATCTTGTCTCCTCCCAAAGGCATGTTATTTACAGCTGAGACAGTGTTTAACATTATAGATGTAAATAGATAAATAAGCAGATGGGATAGAAAGATTCTGTTATGCAACTCAAAGAACTGTGTGACATTGTTATATCAAATACTCCAGAGGGCAATGCACTGCAATAAGGTGAATGAGACCTAAGGCACTTTTTTTTTTTTTAAAGGAAGGGAAAAGGGGAAGAAGAATTGGCGGACTTCTCAGGCAGATCAGTTTTAGGACAGTGCATATACTTGCACCCATGGACCTTGTGGAGAGGGAAGACCACATGCTTAAAGATTACAAAGCAGCTACGAAAAGACCATGACAAGCAGCTTTAAAAGCCCATAAAATAATGCTTACCTGTTTACCTCTGTGTTCTTCAGAGTGGCGTTAAAAGCTGTACTTTTGCAAAAACTAATGAAACAAAAAGCAGACGGATCCAAATGGGCCAGGGAGGGGTGCTGTGGTGTGAGAAAATACAGTCTCTACATGAGCCAAGAGAATCTGGCATGTCCTGGTTGTATAATAGAGTGCAAAGACCAGCACAGAATCTTGACTACCAGCAGGCATGTGTTTATTTAGAAATAATGGAACATAGGATTGGGGAAGAATATTTAATTCAGATTAGTGTTTTTATTCACTTTTAAATGTAAATATGTTCTAGTTCACATTTTGTTTTCTTGATTCAAACTTTTAACTGAGAACACAGTTGCCTTATCATCTACTGCCTTCTTGCCATTGTTCTTCCGTATAAGGTCCACGTAAAAAATGTTTAACACAATTATGACAGACTCCCCCAAGTCAGCCAGACCTGAATGCAAAGGGGTCCAATGAGAACCTGACTCCCCCCCACCCTCCACCTTCTATTTAGTACAAACCTTATGTCAGATGAAGGTCACTGAAAAACCAACAGCATTTCTATTCAAAACAGAGCAGATGTGTTATATTAAATATACCTTAGTATAAAGTCTTCTTAACCCCACAGCCAGTGTGAATGCACGGTTGTAATTACTTTGCACCAGTGCTTTACACACACGACTGATCAGCTGTGTTCTCACCACCCAAGGAGCTAGGTAATATGTGGTCGCGTCACTTAGAAGGTAGGAACCTGGCTTAGAACAGAGAGATAACAGTGTTAGGAATTCACTCTATACTGCCTTAAAATAAGTAACTGCCCAAAAGGGTAAAAATAAGACGTGTGTGTGTATGTGC